CAGACACATCACCTTGCCAACAAAAGTCCGCATAGTCAAAGCTATGGTTTTTCCTGCAGTGATGTATGGAAGTGAGAGCTGGACCATAAAGAAAGCTGACCACCAAAGAAGTAATGCCTTTGAATTGTGGTGCCCGAGGAGGCTCTTGAGAGTCCCCTGGACTGCAAGGAGAACAAACCTATCAATTCTAAAGGAAATCAAACCTGAGTGCTCACTGGAAGGACAGATCCTGAAGCTGAGGCTCCAATATTTTGACCTTCTCATGAGAACAGAATACTTCCTGGAAAAGACCCTGATGTTGGGAAAGTTTGAGGGCAACATATTAAACATTCCAACCCAGAAAAAAACACATACATAATTTTCAGAAGGAACAGAACACTGAAAGCTCAGATTATTTTATATATGATGCTAGTTACATACATATTGTTCAACACATGTGAATGTTCCACACATTTGGTATCTCTCAGTTTAAAGTGAGCAGTTGTCTCAAATCTGATCTAGCATCCGAGTCATATTTAACAATCATCATTCAACCTCATGCCAAAATTGTATAGCAATCTAAGCATATTAATCTGACATGACAGAAAAATTGGGCATGCCTACCATATACTGTCTAAATCTCTGAACTATTTCCACAGTGAGCGCCAAGAAGGTCAAAATGGGGTTCAATGCATTTCAATGGGGGGGGGGGAAATTAGCCAAAAATTAACGAAGAGTCAGAACAAAGCCAAATTAAGTTTGCACACATTTTAGAAGGTGCACTAACGATCCCAAGCATTTAAAACTGTTTTTGAACCTTTTAAGACACACTTAAAATTGCAAAAACGGACATCGCAAAACCATTGGAATGCATTGAATAGGCTTCAGTGCATTCCAATGGGGGATACATTGTTTCGCTTAGCGATGTTTCCTATGGCCATTTTCGCTTAAGGATGGTAATCCGTTCCCTTTGGAATGGATTAACCAGTTTTCAATGCATCGCTATGGGAAAACGTGTTTCACTTAGCAATGTTTTCCCATAGCGATGGTTTTTTTTGGAACCAATTAACATCGTTCAGCGAGGCACCACTGTAGATGCAGTCCTTGAGGCAGCTTGGGCCCAAGCCATTTAGGGCTTTATAGGTTAGAACAAGCATCTTGAATTCAACCTAGAAATAAATCAACAGCCAGTGGAACTGTTGTGACAGGGGGATTATCAGTCAGTAATTTGGCTGATGAGTTTTGGACCTGTTGAAGTTTCAGGACACTTCTCACAGGCAGCATCACATAGAGAGCATTTCGTAATGAGGGTGAAAGAGGAGAGTGCAAAACCGGTCTGAAATTCAACATCAAAAAAACTACGATCATGGCCACTGGTCCCATCACCTCCTGGCAAATAGAAGGGGAAGATATGGAGGCAGTGACAGATTTGACTTTCTTGGGCTCTATGATCACTGCAGATGGTGACAGCAGACACGAAATTAAAAGACGCCTGCTTCTGGGGAGGAAAGAGATGACAAACCTTGACAGCATCTCAAAAAGCAGAGACATCATTTGGAGTTTCAGGGACATTTAGGGCTTTATAGGTTAGAACAAGCATCTTGAATTCAACCTAGAAATAAATCAACAGCCAGTGGAACTGTTGTGACAGGGGGATTATCAGTCAGTAATTTGGCTGATGAGTTTTGGACCTGTTGAAGTTTCAGGACACTTCTCACAGGCAGCATCACATAGAGAGCATTACAGTTATGCAGCCATGTAACGAAGGCATAGACACCGTAGTCTGAACAGATTTTTGCTTTTGGGTTTTTTTTTTCTCGTCCGATATGTTTGAACAGACTAACATGGCTACCATTTTGAAAACTAATGTTCTGATGACATTTGTAAAGATTAATTACAATGGCGGGAGGCTTAGTTGATCTGGTGACTCCCCTATATTACTGGGTGAGATTACACTTTCTCTGAAAGCCCAAGATAAGCAGCCTAGCATTGTCCCATATTGGTCTTGTTTTTGGAGTTTCAGGGGTAGATCCATTTTTACTATCTTTTGTAATTCTAGCTGAGTCTAGTTGTACAAAATAAAATGGCTACTGTAATACATGCCCCTTTAAATTTCCACTTGAAGCCACTTTTCAAGATTGTTTAGAACTTTCTGTTAGTTTTGTTGTTGTTTAGTTGTTGTGTCCAACTCTTCGTGACCCCATGGACCAGAGCATGCCAGGCCCTCCTGTCTTCCACTGCCTCCCAGAGTTTGGTCAAATTCATGTTGGTGGCTCTGATGACACTGTCCAACCATCTCGTCCTCTGTCGTCCCCTTCTCCTCTGGCCTTCACATTTTCCCATCGTCTTTTCCACGGAGTCTTCTCATGAGATGGCTAAAGTATTGGAGCCTCAGCTTCAGGCTCTGTCCTTCCAATGAGTACTGGAAGCACTGTTAGTTTAGTTAGGCATCAAAAGTCTGCTTCTTTACAAGAGGAACCGAAAGGGAGCACATGATGGTCAAAAACAACAAGAACAAAACTTTGTTTCTAGGAACAATTAAAAGTGCTGGTTTAAGCCTTTAGAAAACAGTTTGTTCTCATAAAACATCTTCTCTTACATAAGCTTTGCTGCACCCTAGTATTTTATAATGGAGCATTAATCCAGACCCCATCTTCATCTGAAGTTAGACTGCTGAAGATGATAGGGTTATCTCCATAGTGATGCTCCTGTAAAGAAATTTTTATTTCAGTAAGCAACAAGAAAATAAACTATGTTTGGGGAAACCCAGATTTCAATTTCCTTTTGAAAGTGTCTTAAGGTTGTTTAGTTATTCCATGTTTAATTTAAGAATATAAGTTTTCATGAATTTTTCTCATATACCGACTTTTTCTCATATACTGTAAGATAGTCCTTTTTATGAGTTCTTTTACTAGCAGCAAGTGACAAGACACAGTCGCCATCAGAAAGTGGATGAAACACTAGAATTCTTACTGTGTAAACTGTGTTAAATTAGATTCCTCCAAACTGGAATATATTGTATCATTTTACCAACCTCCCCCAACCCTGCATTTCTGCTAAAAACAGCTAACTTTGAAAATCTGGCTTCCAAGGGAAACAGACAAAGCTGGAGCCTGCTAGCTGAGAATACTGAATTCATTCTCTCACACAGGGCCTATGTGCACTCTTCTGCTCTCAAAAGCGACTCTGGAATGAGAGATGGCAGCAAGCTGACTGGTATCTCAGATCAAACCTCACTTTGTGTCCTGCAGGAGTTGCAAAAGCAGAAGTGGATAAGTATGTGCCAAATTTATGCAGTCCCATGTCAACAAACAGAAATTTGAACAAAAGCAGAGGACTAATTAGCGGGGCGGGGAGGGGGTCAAAGCACACTGGGTGTCCACTGGCCAGCACTGAAACCAGGGCAGCGTCAACCTCATCATAAAGAACATAATACAACCATTACAATCCATGTGACACTCTTAAACAAGCAAATAATTTTGCATGTATTTTACTGATTCTTGTATCTTCCTCTATTGATTTCCCTCAAGATTACTTTTCATTGTTCTACCATGATGTTAATTTTTAATGCTTTAAAAACCCAAGAAAGGGTTTCAAAGGAGCATTATTCCAGACCCTATCTTCATCCAAAGTTAGACTTCAGGTAACATCACATATCACAGATAATAAACAACTGCTTTGGAGTAAACCATTATAGAGTTCCCATCTAACAGAATTCCCAATTTGACCCAGACAGACACTGGCTTTCTCATGGCCACCCAGACAAGGATTTGAACTCTGTCCATAACCAAGTAAACCAACAAGCCCCAGACTAGATATTTGACCCAATGGACTTTACCTTTAATATTCATCATCAACAGATCGCAGCTATTTTGAACTAAAAAGACATTAATTATTGGGGATTATTCACACACTCAGGCAAATGAAATATTAACTTCCAGCACATGTCAAGCTAATGACATGTATCATGGTGCACAGGATTCAGCTTTAAGCACACCATGGAAATTGCTATTTTCTGATACTCAGTTTAAAATGAGACACCAGGCACATTTTTGAAAGGCCTAAAGGATAGACATGTTTCACTATTCCATCTAAACTTAGCTGCAATCATCATAGTAATTGGGGAAGAAACAGATTTTCCCAGAAACAGTATGTTTTTAGAAATTATTTTCACTGTGGTGCCAAGCATTTGAGTGTGGTTTATTCCTGAAGGACAATTAAGAATAATTAAATTTACAATTAAATTGCTCCTTGCTGGCAAATACAACCAACCTATAGCCTGCCTGCGGTTTTGGACTCTTGTTGTGGGAGACAGGGCTGACTGTGGGGACTGTCATAATAGCTACCAGCACTTCCAAATTCACCACTCCACACCAAGCATCACCTATAAACTGAGGGGCAGACAACACATTAATTTGTATCTGGGGGGTAAACACATGGATCGGGACAGATCAGAAGCCCATGCAAGTACTTAACCCATTAAAGGGCAGTCTTAGAAAGCCCGAAGTATCCCCGTCTAGTGTGTATGGCAAAGCTGGTAGGCACACGGATGCCTTGTAGGTGTGTTTACAGATGACTGGGCTGGAGACACAGGCCACTGACACGAGGAAGCCTTTCACCGGTGGTTGCTGACATGCCGTTCTGGCATACTCGCCCACCAAGAAAAGGCAGCCAGCACCCACAGGCTTCTAATTTTAAATGCTTTCCCGCAGCTACGTAGCTCTCATATGCCTTCCAGGACTAGGACCTCTCCTGGCTCCAGGGCTTCCAGATGCCCCTCATTTGAAGTGATCCTCGTTTGGCCGGAGCGCTACACCCCACACATAGGACAAGCTCTGCTCCTTCTTAGGAAACTTTTCACCACGTTCCTCTTCCTCCTTTTCCTCCAGGGCTCTTTGGGAGCGCTTGTTGGGACTTGAGGTGTTTCCCCCTCACCGCACCCCAACCCACACCCGCTTACTCCTGCCCTCCACCCTCACCCCGCTTCCTTCCTTCCTTCCTTCCTTCTCGGCTCCCCTTACCTTGGTATGCGAGGCCGAAGCGCGCCCACACCGCCAGCAAAACAGCCAAGCCAACCGAAGGGCTCTTCATGTTCGGCCGAGGCGTCCTGCTCCCGCTTCAAGGCTTGCCGAAGTGAGAGCCGGGAGCAGGCGGACGAGGGAGGGACCCGGAGCAAGCCGTGGGGGCTCCCCTGGGCCGCTCCTCCCCTTCGCCCGCTTCCCGCCGACAAAGCCTACCGAGGCGTTCCCCGCACCCGCCTCCTCCTTCCACCACTCCCCCACACACACACACACTTTGGCACAGGGCGCCGAGGGGGGCTGCTGCTGCTGCTTCAGGGAAGCTGAGGTGGTCCCTCTGGGCGCCTTCCCGGTGGAGACGCAGCCTTGCTCCTCTCCCGCTCCCGCTTGATGGAAGCCTCCTTCAGGAATTTCGGAGCCTTTTCTAAGTCCCAAGCTTTCTTTTTAAAAGTTTATCCACTGAGCTATCGAATATACTGTATTTTTTCATGCGTTCCCAGGATTTTCCCTTCCCTTCTTTTTACGGGCCGCTTACAGGCTCAGCCCGCTAATTTATGAGGGCAGTGGGAGGGAGAATACCCTCAAGTTGGACATGGAAAGAGACCACACCAATCTGTTTCCCGCCACCTCGCCGCCAGCAAACCTCCCCCCCTCTCTCTCTCTCACACACACACACACACACAGAGAGAGAGAGAGAGAGAGAGAGAGAGAGAGAGAGAGAGAGAGAGAGAGAGAGAGAGAGAGAGAGAGAGAGAGAGAGAGAGAGAGAGAGAGAGAGAGAGAGCAGCTTCTCTCCTTGGTTCACATTCCGCGCCAACCCTGCGTGTAAGCCAGACCACGGTGGTAGCAAAAACCAGACCAAAAGGGGGGAAAAACCGAGACTGTGAGCTCAAATGTAGTCTGCCGCTGACGAGTCTTGGGGCCTTTCCAGACCAAATGGGGGACTTTCCTTTAAATTTTCGGTTTGCTCCAAGACAAAAAGAGCAGTAATCTCCCTACACATCCTAGATGCAGACAGATTCTCCTACCATGCAGTATTGGGATAGAAGTGAGAAGAGCACTGATTGAAAATCAGTTGAGAAGCTGCTATCCATTTCTAGTACCGTGAAGGCATGTCTGTATCCCAGTGACTGAGAAAGGGTGTTGCCTTCATGCCTGGCTTGTGGACCTTGCAGGGAAACACTGAATTGATTGCTGTCAGAAAGAGGATGCTCAGCTTGACAGGCCTTTGGTTAGATCCAGCTGTACTGTTCTGACGACTGTCCAGATACTGTAGAAAGAAATCAGATTTTAAGTGTTACACAATGAGATACTCAAGTGTATAACTTATGAAGACTCTTATACTGTCCATACATATTGTCATTGCTGTCCTATAAAATCCCTTCTCAAAGTTCCTCATTCCATGCCTTATTTTCTCACTCATTTATACGTAATTTTGTTGTCTAGTTGTTAAGTTGTGTCTGACTCTTGGTGACCCCATGGACCAGAGCACACCAGGCTCTCCTATCTCCCACTGCCTCCCGGAGTTAGGTCAAATTCATGCTGGTAGCTTCAATTACACTGTCCAGCCATCTAGTCCTCTGTCATCCCCTTCTCCTCTTGCCTTCACACTTTCCCAACATCAGGTTCTTTTCCAGGGAGTCTTCTCTTCTCATGAGATGGCCAAAGTATTGAAGTCTCAGCTTCAGGATCTGTCCTTCAAGTGAAGATTGAATTCCTTCAGAACAGATACATTTGATCTCCTTGCAGTCCAGAGGACTCTCAAGAGTCTCCTCCAGCACCACAATTCTAAAGCATCAATTCTTCAGCAGTCAGCCTTCTTTATGGTCCAGCTCTCACTTCCATACAACACTACTGAAAAAACCATAGCTTTGACTATGTGGACCTTTGTCAGCAAGGTGATGTGTCTCCTTTTTAAGATGCTGTCAAGGTTTGTCATAGCTTTCCTCCCAAGTAGCAGGAGTCTTTTAATTTCGCGGCTGCTGTTCCCATCTGCAGTGATCATGGAGGCCAAGAAAGTAAAATCTGTCACTGCCTCCATATCTTCCCCTTCTATTTGCCAGGAGGTGATGGGACCAGTTGTGGGAAGTTTTAGTCTAAAGTTCCATCTTGTGGCTATTAAGGGATACATCACTGGTGTTTAGCATAATCAAGCTATTGTAGTATAAAGATGCATTGTTCTATGATTGTCTCTCTGAGCATGTGTGGAATGTGTAGAAAAGATAAGTTTCTCGACCCTCTTTGGCTAAATCTTCTCTTTATGTAAATGATAGTACTTAATAAAAAAAGACATGCCTCCAGAGAAGAAGGTAGACATTTTAGAGACATTTTAGAGACATTTT